TTACTTTTCGAGTATTTCGAAAATATAATATATCATAGGTGTACCTGTTTATTTCCATCTTCTTTCCAGCGTAATAAATTATCTGGGTCTTATACATCACCAAAATAACGGCGTCATATAATATTGATTTTGTCATCGTATACTGTCCAACGCTATAGATTTTAATATTCGTTTAATTTCGTTCTAGTACAATAACTGTTGATTCTTGACGAGACAAAAGATTAGTTACAATAATGTATTTTTTTTTATTTATAAATACATGAGTAATATGTACATCACGTATACTTACTTATCATTATTTTTTCAAAATCATAATTTTGCTCCTGTCAAAATTATTTATTTATCTTGTACAGCAATTTTACTCTATAAAAATTCAAACGAATACCTACAATGACGTGTTTTTTATATACAGTTTTTTCTGTTATACTAAAGATATTAAAACTTCAAGTTCTAAAAAAATCCTATCATCTTTACTTATAGTGGAGTATAAACACTTGAGCATTGTTTACTTACTTATATATTATACCTAATTTCGTTCAGAGTCGTTTGACATTCCATGTAAAGCGAGAAATATATAGGTTTTAAATTTTTATTTTAGTATTAAACTGTAACAAAAGTTTTACGCTGCATCTCATTAGATAAGCTTTATAACTAGAATGGTACTTGAAAGATGTTATTTTTTGATTTCCAAAGTGTTTTTAGCGAGCAGAAATGAAGTCTGAATAAAAAAAAATAAAAAAACCTCTCTTAATATTTTTCAAACAGGCTTTATTTATTTAACACGTAATCTAATTTATTCTAAATTTAATTTAATTTTTTCTTCATCGAAAAATTATACAATACTTTAAAACTTTAAATAAGTATTTTGTCTCTTATTTAAAAATTTATACTCTACGTATCTATTTCAAATGTCAACAAATAACTATTATTACGTTTAGCTTGAGTAGCGGATTATTTTTATTCTCCTTAAAAGTAAAGATAGTTTTTCCAGTTGAGCCACTTAACACATTTGTATAAACAGCAAACCGGACTGTGTGCTTTATACATATTTATTTTTTTTTATTCGTAAAATCATACGCTTCGTATAGATTTAGTAGAACGGTAAACCAAGACTTTCGAAAGCCCATACTTAAATAATACCATAATTACTAGTACATCATATTTCCACGTATTCACATTTTTCGTGTTTATAGAACGGATTTAAGAAAAACAGGAAAATACGGTGTAATACGAGTAGATTGAAATCCGTATTTCATAGTGGTGCAATGTATAGTAGTTAATTTCGGAAAAATAATTTAAGACCCAGAGAATAATCTTGGGATTATTTTTCGTCAAGAGTGAAACGTAAAATAGAGGACAACTATCATCCGAGTAAGATATGGTACGAAACGTTGTGCGCGATGTACCGAGTCGACTTAAAGGAAGGACATCCGAACGAAACACCTGTCGTAACTGCATGTAGTCGCTGTGTCTAGTCCGGTCCGATGTTCGTATTTTCTGCGTCCTCGACGTTTTTGTTATTAAGATCCAATTTATTCGGACAGATAAGGGAACTCGTCCCGTAAACGCCAATCTAGTGTTGGATCTACTGAACTGGCGGTAATACGGTTGCAGTAGTTTTGACAAACTGTCTAGTCGTGCTGTTACCCATCGATCGCTCCGACGGAGTGCAGTACTAACGGTTTGTCGACTGAAAAGTAATACTCTCGGAATTCCTCGAGTACGGAAAATAATACACCCTGTGCGCGCGCGTCTACCGAACACCTGATTCCTGTGAATTCACATCGTTTAATTTCCATCACGAGTAATCGACGAATTCGCATTCTACCGTATTACTATGGTATAATAAATAAATATAATATATATAATAAATATAATAAGATAATAAATATTATCTACCGTATATTATTAGCTTACACGCCCGAATCGATATTCCATTGACGTAATAAAAAGACATTAAATCTATTTGATCGTACGGCGTATATTAATATCGTCGAGCCGCGCACGCGTGTGCGCTTTCTGCGGCCACGGTACGTCGAATATTCAATAATACGCACTAATACGTTTATGCGTGTACCAAAGTTCGGTATGTTTACTTTGATTTTACGATTCGGAAAACAGCCCGCTTTAGCGCTAATAAATCAGTGGTTGTGCCTAGAGGTCTCGTTACGATAATGAACGACGTTCTTGCCAACGCAATGGATGTGAACGCAACACACAGTATTTAGGATTCACTGTTTCGTACCGAAGCGTTTTTTTTTGTGGATAAAATCTTCCAAAAAAATAATTGTTAACACTTAATACAGTTATTATTTATTCATCAGATATGTAAGACTAAATTAAATTAGTTCAAAACATGGGTAACTCGTTTAACATCTAATAAAAATTCATAACGAAATGAAGTATTCACAATACATTATAGAAATATCGAACCATTGAAATTAATTTTAAACTAATTATTATATTAAATAGATGATCAAATATAATTTCGTTTTGAGTGATTTAATATTTTAATTTTTTCATTAAAATGACATTAATTATAATAATAATTCTTAAGATTCAACAATTTAAACATTAATACATAGGTTTTTAATTGATTTATAATAATAATTATATAATAACATTACGTGAACAACTAAACTATATAAATATACTTATATTACACGCGCAATACATAATAAACGAACTGTTTACTTGTAAACATACGTAGGTATGAGTAATATTTTAAATAATAAATAGACGTAGTTTTTTGGATACTTCTAGTATCAAAACATTTAAATACGTTTAATTATTAGTGAAAATTATTTAAACTTAATTTTAAGTACATATAACACACAAAAATATTATTTAACAGTTTTACATGAAAAAAAGAAAAAATTTTGATAGTTCGATATTTAAAATTCAACATGACAGTTAGACGTATTCAAGTAATCCGTGTATTACGATAAACAAAATTTGCTTGCAATTAGAAAAATAACGATATTATTATTATAGGAACGAAAAGCATAAGTGGATCATGAGAATTAAATTTAATAGTATTGGATTTTCAAAACAAATATTAGTAGGATTTTAATATTTGGAAAAAAAAACGTTGAATTATAAATACGAAATTGGCCCGTACGCGTAGCAAGGTACTTTGAGAATTTGTAATTATTACCTAATGTCGAAATGTTGCTATAACGTTTGCGATTTGATGTGACTATTATACTTTGGTAAATATGCTTTTATAAAAATAGAAGAGTATTTCAATGATAAATGAATATTGCGTTCGAAGATATTGAATTTAAAACCTAAAATTTGAATAAGAAAATCTTAATTGGATGATTTTAATCTGTATTTTTCACATTTATATTCGAATAATAAAATAAATCGGAATAATAATCGTGGAATATATTAATGATTCCCGCCGGTATTTCCAAACTGCGTCTGTGAAAATTCGAGCAAAGCGTTTAAAAACGGATTGGTCTTACAAAGATTCGCTATTATTTATTTATTTTTTTTTTTTTTACCGCACCATATAATATTTTTTTATTTCTTCGCAATACTATTTTCGTAAAACATTTCATAACAACACGAACATTAGGATTAAATATATATATATATGAGCAATGGCTTGTAAGTATACGTAAGTGGATGTTTTGATCGTTTGAAGTTCAACATCTCGTTTGAATTTCTTTTTCCAATTTCTATGGAAAATCGACTTTTATACGTTCGTTCCCCGCCCTCGCCTACCGGCACGCGTACGGATACCGTAAAAACGAAAACTCTTCTTGCTCTCTCCACCCCATACGCGCGATCCACCACGACGCCGGACGAACGTATTATCATAATTAAAGCCCGGATTTTTATGCATTTGCATGTTTATACTAAGTGTATGTACGTCTATGGAGGTTTGAAATGTCCACGATTCATATTACACCGAATTTAAACACCAAATTTTATATTTCATATTTTGCATATTTCGAAGGATATTGCATATTTGTTTATAAATGCATATAACATACATATTTAATAGGTTTTTAATAAACTAACTATTTTAATTTACAGTAAATTTTGTTATCTCCTAGAATAGAGTTCAAATTGACAGGTATTGATAAGTTAAATTGATAGGTATTAAGTTTCAAAAATATTATTTTAAAAGATTTGTTTTAAGTTTTCTATGTGGTTTTCAAAAAAAAAATCACATTTTATAAAGTGTAACATAATGCATATAATTGCATATTTAGTCACTTTTTCTTTGCATATTTGCATCATATTTGACACTTTTTAAATTTATATAAATCCGGACTCTAATCATGTTTCGCAAAGGTAAAAAATCTGCGAAATCAAAATCGCACATAAATCAAATAATAATAATAATAAAAGCGCGCGCACGCGTATATGCGTATCTCATAGGGTATATATATACATTTGAAGAAGGATGTGAAAGGAGTCGCGTCGCCGTCGAGACACGTACGCGCGGCGGCACAAAAAAAAGGTTATATTTGAATCACGTAACTCATGAAAAATGAGGGCGGGTGGTGTTTGAAAAAACAAAACTGAGAAAATGATTATCACGGCAGATTACGTCGAACACGTTATAAATATCAACTCAGATTTGTGAAACACAGAAATATCATTTGTAAATAATGAACGTTTACGCACGCGGTGCAATCGATCGTGGCCGTTCAAAACTATTGCAGTGTCAATTATATCGGTGGGCGGTTCGAGTAGAAGGAACTTCTCGTCGCCACTGGTACGCGAGCCCTTGCGATCGCACTGATGCGAGGGTAAAACACGATTGCGTATGAAATTGTATGCAACGTTGTTAAATTTACTAATTTTACCGTATTATATCTAGGTAATAAATATATAGAATACGTGTACTAACGGTTTTATAATAATTCATAAAAAAAAAAAAAAAAATTAATAATAGATAAAACGAGGATAACTAAATAAAAATAAAAGTAATATTAATAAATAAATCAAATCAACAGTTTTTATTTTAATAAAATTGTTGTTAATAAATTATTTGAAAATGCATTAATTTCGATTCCCTGACATCTATAACCGAAATTTCGTTATATCTGATACATTTGATATCATTAACAATAAACATGGACAATAAAAGCGTTAAAACACAGAGTATAATAGTAACTTTTTCATGTTTACTCCTATAGACATGCGGTATACATCGATACCGGTATGAAAATTGGCATCAACGCTTAAAACTTCGGACGCGATCGTGTAGTTAAAAACCAGGTAAACCGTACGGGATCGCGTTTTACCCTGACGCGTATGCGGGTACGTACATTAATGGTGCGGGACATTAGGCGCGCGGGGACGGGGATAGTAATGTACTCGTGTTCAGGGTGCACGACGCGGTCGGGGTTGTGCCGTCGGGCGGATGTGGCGTTCGGCGCGGGACGAAACGCGAGGGATAGCGTTTGCCCGTGAATCGAACAGAACTATCGTTGTACTACATGTATACTCTACGGATATGTCCGCTGGAACGACGGCGGCGACAAGACTATACTGCGGCGAACGGCTCTCTCGGCGCCCACTCAACGCGCACGGTTTTCGCTTCAGACCGGATTTTCCGGCGGAACGTTCAGCATGCGGTTTTGACAGGAGTTCGACAGCAACCCGCCGCCGCCCGGCCCGTTGGACACGATGAACGTCATCGTCGTCGAGCTGCTGACGGTCGAAGCCCTTTTGCCTTTGTTGATGGCCGTGTCGGCGATAATCGATGGCCGGGCCAACCTGAAAGCACACAAAAACACGGCCGACGGCCGATTAAACGGAGTGGTAATAGCGACGAGGAAAACCGATGGTCGCGCGACGTTCGTACGGTAGGTAAACGTCGCGTCGATGTGGTAGACATGCGGTCAAGTGCCTGTAGACCGTGTACGATTAGTAGAGACTCGTACCCGCGTCATTATGTAATAATTCGTTTTCACGCACTTTAAACCGACCGGGACACTATCGCGGCGGACACGGGAAACCCGTCGCAGGAGTAAGTGAACGTTACTTCGATTCGGTAACAAAAATTCAAAAATCTAACAAATCGGATCGTAAGATTAAATCGCTATGTCTGCAAATCGTTTGGTAATTACTGTTTGACTCGGGTACGAACACGGTTCGTTTAGCAGTCGATTGCATTGCACGGATGTCGGCAAACTGTGAATAATAAGCATTTTTACACGTCGTATTTATCAGACGTAATACTCAAGGGCTGTTATGATCATGAACCGTATTTTAATTAAATTGTCGCGTGGAATACAGAGACAATACAACGATTTCGGTAAACCGTTAATAGTAATTAATTCACGCGGTTATATTATTAGAGTAATAATAATAGCAATAGTGCTAAGTATTATGCAACAGGGACCTGATACTAAATTATTATTGCGATGACGTGGATCCTGCGGGGCTTTAAATAATAAAGTAAATATAATATGTATGAACGAAACAAGTAACAAAGGAGCGTGTAATGCGTATCAAATTTGCAAACTTAATAATAAACTGATGATCAGTGTAAAAATATTACATAAAAAAAAAAAAAAGGACTCGAATCGATGTAGTGGAATTATTTAACGAACGAATTAATATCTGTTGACAGTTTATAATATAAGAACGATGAAGTGAATTGAGTGGATGAAAATAATTTGTTGAATATTTAAGGGTTCAATACAACGACCGTATAGATATTTTTATTTTACAATATTTTCAGAGCTCACTGTATAGTTCAAATACTTGCGAAAAAGATGTCAAATCCATACAACTACAACTCAAGCAGATACTTATAAGTATACTTTTTAAGTATCTAAAAAAAAAATTAAAGAATTGATCGAGGCGATGACCCAAATTTTTATTTTTTGTGAACACACTTCTGATATTCCCAATTATTTTCTATTATCGAATAATTATAAATAAATAATTCATTAATTTTTTAAATATAAAACATATTGCATAGTATTTCAACAAGACTGTTGGCATATTCTTTTGTTTTAGAAAATTTCTTGTGACTTCTACAATTTCAGTTTTAAATAGTTACATTTAAAATAAGTTCTAAAATATATTTTAATCAAGTAATAAAGATAAACAATTACAAGTGGCCGCTTTGAAAGTCGAAAGGTGATATTAAATTAATATAACATGATTTCCGGAATAATATTGATGACTTGTGAATTTCAAAACTTAATGTAATCATCGAAGTAAAATCAAATTTTTTTAACATTTTAAAAAAATCATCCAGCATAAATGGTTTAAACGATACATTTACATACTAATGTAGGTGATACTCATGGAAATTAATTTAGCGAAACTTAAGAGGGTTTAAAGGCACGTCTCCTTAGAATATATTAGGCTTAACGCAGCTGTAATTTTCAGATAGATGCCAGTAAACATCTGCACTGAAGACGTGAGATTTTCAAATTTAACTTGTTACTTAAATGTAATAAATCGTATTCGCTAGCATTACATGTTCAATAGCACACGTCAAACATTAAGCTACAAACATTAATCGTTTTAAGTAGATGAAAACATATAATTATATCAGTATATTTTGTAACACTATTCTAAATATAATAGTATGGTATACTTTTTGTCGATACCATTTAAAATATAAAGTTTTTTTGGCTTACTGGCCGTAGATAACTAAATGATAATTAGTATGAAAATAAATTATAGTAGTAAACACGCGATATGTTTATAGTCCCCCCCTTTACCTTGTAATCGTCATTAATAAAAGTATCGATACATTCTATTCTTAGATCGTTTATACCGCCGAATAGTACATCGGAATATGAAATAAAATCGTAAAGTACACAGCGATCGACCTCAAATTAATCTCAACGCAACTTATTTTTTTTTAAATCGTCGGTCCCATGCTATCGATGGCTTTACGCACCGATTTCAAGTAATGATCCTGAATAACTCTATGCAGTGTACACTATGGTCGTTTATTCTTATCGCATTTTTTTGTCACATTATTGATCGGTTTGTCGTCGCGATCGAAACGTAAACGTTAATCGTTCGATGTAATCATATTCACAATCAACTAATTAGAAATCGGAAGTATTCGAAATCGATTGTTATGCGTTCATAAGGTAATTGTTATGATAGTCGATCGGTGAAGTCTGTGAATGGCGAAAAAGCTGTTATCGAAACGTACGAGCTACAGTTTCTGCAACAGTACTACTACGCAATAAGGTACAACACAGCGAAGTATAACACTATAATAATAACAATAAGAATAGGCACGTATCTCGGTAAGACCGCAAAACGTCGCTGCGAATTTTGTTGGCGGATTTGTGAATACGCCAGCCATCGGATTC